ACGTGCAGAATGGGGAGGGAGGAAGTTTACGATACGGCGGTGATCGATAAGAACTCTCCCTTGAAAGTGATATGATAGCTGTTATAACCTTTGTTGTATATTAAAGTTATGAAACTAAAGACCGTAGCACCAGCTGATTTAACAGCAGCCGGAGCTACTGGTGGAAACGCAGAGATGGTTTTGTATCTGTGTGTTTTCTTGCCACAGGAGCTTGAAGTGAAATATTAAAGAGCAGTGGTTTTCAAAGTGGGAGCTGCGGCCATCTGAGGGGCCACCAGTGGGCACTAGAGGGACCTCAGAAAATTGGAGGGAAAAATGCAAAAAAAAAAAAAAACAACTGTAAAGTACACTGTACATGAGAACATGTTCTGTAGGTGTCTGAAAATTATAAAAATGTTAAATTATATATAAATTAGTAAAATAATAGTAGTCAATTATTTAATTAGATCGATCAACACCTGCACTGACACCAACAGACCCACCTTACCCGTCTACCTAGCAAGCACACATTTCAAGGACAGAGACAGTGTTGTCCCTTATCCAACAGAAAATGCATTAAAAAAACATTTATCACAATGATTTACCCACAAATGCCGAGCAAATAAATGTAAGTTTTGTGCTTGTTTGATACAAAGGTTTCTCTTTTCATCACTGGCCCAGACACACTCACATTTGTCTTGATTATATATAAAGTTATTTTATATTTAGTAACCATGATTTACACTCTAGCTGCCTGACATTTGGAAGAGATGAAGCCATTTCACAATCACAAATTAGTTTGAAAAAATGGCTACAGACATAAAGATGTGATTTTTTTTAGTCACTTAGGTACAATGTTCTGATTGATTAATCAGTTTAGCATTCTTTTTGGTTTAAAGGCAAGAGGAGGTAAAAGTAAGAGTTCAGAGTTCATGAGATCAGAGTGAATTGTTGGTAGAGTTGACAGTAAAGTTCCTGTGACAAAGACAGAGACACGGGCAACGGTGTTTGAGAATTTGCCCCGGGGCTATAGTCGACTCCAGCGACCTGATTTGTCCAGCTTTGCTACCAAGCCCGTCTGTCTGCCAACCATGTGTTCTGACTCGGTCTTAATGACTCTGTGTAACTAATTAGCAGATTGATCTGCATATTCCTGATAAGTGGCAGGCCAACTGGCTAAGTGTGTGTGGACATAGGGAAACACAGATGCCAGAAAAGGAATCCAGATCCACCAGAAATGCCCAGAAATCAAAGCTACAATGAACTTTAAAGTATCGACTTCTTCTGAATTATATAAAATATCAAAATAGTTTCATCATTATACATTTGTTTTTTGATTTCTGATAAAAACCAAACAGTGAAACTTGGAGTTCTTATTGTCAGACAGGTTAAAGTGGAAAATGACAACGACACTAACAAATGACTGAGCTCTGCCGCAGATGTTCGCTCTGCTCCAGTTGCCTCCTGTCGGCTGCAGGTCCAGAGAACACATAAGGCCTTCTGTTCGTGTGGAACACTCGTTGTTGTCACATTGTTGGTACTGATCCACCAGAGAGGCCTGAGAGATAAAAATAGAGCGGTGCACAAAGAGAGATGTGCCGTCTTCTTCAGCTCAGCAGCTGCGCGGTGGTCACGACCTGACCTGCACAACACACCCCAGAATGACGTGATAGTGTGATGCAGATGGAGGGCAGAGTCCGTGTGTGTGTTACAAGGATGGTGTGTGTGAGAGGTCTGTGTCTAAAAAGAACGCTGTGTGAGTAAAAACTATTATTTACAGATGATCCAGTGTCACCGGCTGTGTTTTTATTGACCGCCTCCCTCCTTTCAACTCGTCTCCACTCACTTTCTCCATCTCACACAGAGGTCAGCGTTACCAACGGGCCTCTGTATGATCGCACTTGCATGTCATGTGGCTGCCTAAAGCTCTCAGTGCCACGGTGAATAGAAGGTAAACATTGTACACGTGTACTCAGGCCAAGGTACATGTGTGCACATTTGTAGATGGACAAAAAGAAAAAGAGAACTGAACTGAAATATACAGCAAAACTGTAACAATAAAACAATTTACGAACAAAAAACCTGGGAACAAAAACAAAAAAATAATAAAAAAGTATATATATATATATATAACTTTTAACTGCTGAGAAAAAAAGCCCTATGTAAACTATATATGAATATAAATTTTATTAATAATTAATGAATTCATTAACTTTTACTTTGAAATCTAGAAACATTTTAAATGAACTTTTTTTTTAGAAAACATATTCTCACTGGAGCGACTGTTGGCTGTATATGGAACTTTGTACACTTTAGTCACTTATTAGAACTGCTCCTCTCTTCCCCTGGTGGTTTTAGCCTGGTACACTAACAGCTCAGTATTTCTTTTTTTTCTTTTTTACCTTGCACTATTTTGGGTCCTCGTTAAATCAACAAATTGTATGAGAATGAGTTCAGAGATAATTGTCAAAAAAATATAATAGTATTGTCATTATTCTCCCATATATATTTCCCCACTTCATCAAAGTAAAGCTAACTGTTATCAGCACAGTAAATGAAACTCTGGGCCTTAAGTTCTGATCCTATTGTTAAGGTTGTGTTAAGGTTAGGAGCGAACTATGGGAATTTAAAAAATTAAAACAAATTATTAAAAGCATTGATGGATTTTTTGTATGACTTTTTCTAGAATACCATTTCAGGATTTTAAAGACAAATCCAAGATGAGTCAAATTAAATACATTTTGCAAAAACAAAAATAAACTCAATGGTTGATGTTGCATTTTTATATTTAAAATATTGCTACATGAATAAGAGTCTGCAATTAGTGAAACTAATCAGTTCTGTGTCAGAAAAACTATATAATATATGAAATAAAAAAATCATTTTTTGTCACTGCGATGGTTGTTTCAGTAAAACAAGTTACACTCCAGATTTCAGAGACACGTGACATTTTAACAGGCACCGTCTGAACAACAGCAAAGTAAATAGGTGTGTATTTTTGCAGTGGTTACAAAAAACCTTCCATATGGTTCTGATTTCTCTGCTTGTTTCTTTCTGCATAGCCATCAGGTTGGCAGTGTGACGACACTATACGACACAATACTGGCAACTGTTGACGAGGATGATACTGAAACATCCATATAGTTGCCCTGTGTGAAGGTTTGTTGAAACTATTTTAGTCATATGTACCTCAGAAGTCTATCATAACACTGACAACCTCCCAAAAACATCTGGAGCTTTAGCACCTAACTGCACTCAGACTCCCACCTTTCCCTAAACCGCTAAAAAAAATGTGAAATTTAAAAAAAGAAAAAAAAGAAGTTTCACCTACTGCTATAAAATCCACTTCTTTTTTTGTACTATTTTTGAGAACGAGGTGTTCACATGTGTGCTGCATCTGTGAGCCAGGTACTGACCAAAATCACACTGTATGTCATCACCTTTTCCCAACAAGGCCTGATTGCGTTATCAGAAACCTGGCATCTGGGTGTGACCTTGTTAACTGCCAGGATAATCAACTTTAACCAAAAGGGAGGAGAGGGGATGATAAATTATTAGTGAGGAAGATTTTGTTCATGTTTTATTAAATTGGCCTGTCAAACAGGGTTGGTCAAATTATCTAGGGCCTTGTTTATTGGAGGCCAGCCATATTGGCGCATCTGTTACAATTATTTATAATTTCCAGGCAGCCAGGACGACGGGCTGGCTTTTTCGGCATTAGGAACATAAAGCAATTTAGAAATTAACTGAAGTGGGAGTGTCTGAGGTTTTGCTGTTGCTCACTCACAGCCTTCCTGATTCTAATTTAGAATGATGAAAACTAAAAGACAGTTAAGCACAAAAAGTATGGGCAACAAATGATTCATGTCTGTGTGAGCTCAGTGAATGCAAGGCTGAACAAAACAGAGAAGGAAGAAGCAGTGAAAAAAAGAGTACGGGGGAAAAAAAGGCGAGAGGAGGGAAAAAAAACGGTCTTAGTAATTACTGAACACGATTAGGTTCTTGGGGGAACTTGTCTGGCACTCATGGCCCTTGCTGGTGAGGATGCGGCAGGCAGGACCATATGGAGGGAGGCTTGTGATTGTGCTCCCTGAAGCTCGTGACCCGTCTGCTGCCGAGCCCTTGAGCTGAATGTGAAATGAGACTTGCCAGGCCTAATGTTCTACACATGCACCATTTACACCACAAAACAAATCTGATCACTGTTAATTATGGAGCAGCTATAATCAGACGGGGCAC